TGCCGCAGCTAATAACGATTAAAAATTTTCTTAAATTTGATTGAAGGTATCTCGACACCCACCAAATCAAATTTGATGAATTTTTTTTTTTATTTGATTTCTAATATTCCAGAGAATTCAAATAAAAAAATGGCATCAAATTTGGTCGGGTGGTTGTCGAGATATTTTCGATCTAAATTTTAAAAAATTTAGACGTCAAAATTTTTTTACTTTGATCGAAGATATCTCAACAACCACTCGACCAATTCGGTTATTATTTGAATTAAAAAAAAATTCATCAAATTTGGTTTGGTAGTTGTCGAGATACTTTCAATCAAATTTAAGAAAATTTTCAAAATATTAGCTGCGGCAAATTTTCTTGACTTTGATCGAAGGTATCTCGACACTCACACAATTAAATTAGATTAAATTTTTTTTTATTTGAATTCTATAGTTCCAGAGAATTCAAATAAAAAATTTCATCAAATTTGGTTGTGTGGGCGTCGAATTACTTTCGACCAAAGTTAAAAAAACATGGTTTACATATGGGTGTGGAAATATCAAAAAAGGGTGTGAAAAAATCATGCCCCTAAATATAATATAGATTATACTTACGTGCTAATAATTTCATAAAGTTATAAGTAGAATGATTTAAGACGAATGTAAAGTATAAAAATAAATATAATAAGCTTATATTAAAATTTATGGTATAATACAATTAAACTAAAATAAGAGAGCCCAAATTTTAGGTTATTGTCAAAGAGTTAAGCAATCGTCGAAAAGACTATAATCTACCTCAGACGGCTTTAATTCAATTTAAGTCTCGCTTGGTAACCAAGACGTACACTTTCTTTAACAACAACACGCATACCACACTAGTCAGTAAGTATATACTTGAGAAGACGCTTAATTTTTCTGATTACCAGTCGAACATTCGTTATTTATCTAATTCTAACATATTATGTATGGAGTTTGGAACCGGTTTCAAACTCTGTCATTTTAGTATTACGTTGTAAATCGGGAATCATAGATATGCAAATGTTTTGACTTTAACTAGAGTTGACTTACGTACGTACGTACGTACATGCCAAATTTATGATCTATGGTAAATGAACAAATCAGATTAATGTATACTACAGTACAATAATATGGTGCGTGAGAGTGAAAATCAGGAAATAAAATTTATTATTGGTTAAATTTTAGTTCCTGGTTGATTTTTACTCTCACGCACTCCAGCACTCATTTAATAAAAAATTTAATCCTTAGGACTATGCGCCACTAAGCTCTGCAAAGTAAAAAAAAAAAAAAAAAAAAAAAAAAAAAGCTTATTAGTTATTGAAAAGTTAGCAAATTTAATAAAATTTGTATAGTTTTAAAGAGTCATTTAATACCAAAAATCCTATTATATTATATATTATTAACTTACATGTAAGTTACGTACTTATAACTTACATTAAAAAAAAAAATTAAAAAATTGCTGTAAGTTTACAACCCTACTTGTTATATCAATTATTACTTAGAATGGATCAAACGGCTAAGTATGCTGATACAGCTCTTAAAGCTATTGAAGATATTTCTGAAGAGCTCTATGATATAAGCATAAAGGTAAATACATGTTAATAAAAATAATGTTAAAATCTTAATGTAAGTTAACTATTTTAAATACGTAGATACATGAAAATCCAGAATTAGCTTACGAAGAAAGAGATGCACATAATTTATTAGTTAAATATTTACAAGAAAAAGGATTTAAAGTAACACCTCATGCTTTTGGATTAGAAACCGCATTTGTAGCAGAATTTCAATCTAAGGCTGGAAAAGGTCGTGTCGTTTCATTTAATTCAGAGTAAGTAATATTAATTACTTTAGTATAAAATATTTGACAATTCTTTTATGACAAAGTTTGTAATACCTAAATTTTAGATATGATGCTCTACCGGATATTGGTCATGCTTGTGGTCATAATCTTATCGCAATTAGCGGAGTTGCCGCTGCGATTGGTTTCAAAGCAGTTCTTGAGAAATTTGTAATTAAAGGAACTGTAAAGTTATTTGGAACCCCAGCAGAAGGTATTTAAAGTTTTCTTATTAATGATTTAAAAATTTAACATCAAATATAACATTATATATCTACATTTTTTAAGAAAAGGGTAGTGGAAAGATTGATTTAATTAATGCCGGTGCATATGACGGAGTTGACGTTTCATTAATGATTCATCCAAGGTGACATTTTATTATATTAATATTTAATATTTGCCACACTTCCGAATTTATTATTGATTATAATAATTTACGAATACATTAGTCCATTAAATGGAGCTTTTATACCTTTATTGGCGATTCAGATTGCAGAAGTTGAATATTTTGGAAAAGCTGCTCATGCTTCGGGTGAAATTTTTTTATTTATTTCAATTTATTTTATTTTATTAATTTATTTATTGACATTTTTATATATTTTTCGATATTTTTTTTAAATATTTTAATTTGTTGCTTAACGGATTGCTAGCACGTCCCTTTAATGGTATTATGAAAACCCCTCCTTTTACTTTACGTCTTTATTCGAAAAGTTGTTTAATAACTAATCAATATTTTATCTAAAAATTAAAATTAAATTAATAGGAATTAATGCATTGGATGCAATAGTTTTGGCTTATAGTAATATTGGATTTTTGAGACAACAAATTCAATCTACAGACAGGTATAGATCGAATATTATATTATTTTTATGCCAATTTCGTACTTAAAATTGATTGAAATATTTATAGAATTCATGGAATAATTACTAATGGAGGAAAATCAGCTAATGGTTTGTAATATTTACAGTATAATAATGTATTTTCACTTAAAATTTTGAAAAAAATTAAATAATCAAATATTTCATAAATTTTTTAGTTATTCCGGATTATACATCTGGCACTTTCTTTATTCGCGGAAAGTCAATCGAAGATTTGAAAGCGCTTCACCCGCGTGTGCACAAATGTTTTGAAGCAGCCGCAGAAGCGACCGGGGCAACAGTAAAAATTACGTGGTCAAAAGAAGTTTTTGGTATTTTGATAATAATATTATTAAATATTTATTTGGTTAAAAATTATTATAATTTAATTATTATCATTTATAGATATGAATATAAATGAACCTCTTGCATCACGCTACGAATATTATCTTTCAAAAAAATATGATATTACTTGTCCACCCAAAGAAGTTCAATCCACCTTTACTACTGGATCATCTGATCAGGGAAATGTAACTTACTTAGTACCTGGATTTCATCCATTATATGACATTCGCACATCTATTCCTGCTGTTAATCATCAACGAGAATTTACTGCAGAATGCAAATCAAAAAGTGCTCATGAAGAAACTATAAAAGCTACTAGTTGCATGACTCTAGTTGGATTAGACTTTTTACTTGATGATGAATTTGCTAAGCAAGTCAAAGATTGCTTTAACAAATCTAAATTATAATGAAGTTTATTGTTATTGCTAATTTTTGGGTTTACTCTCGCTCCGTTTTCTATCATGATAATTAAGAATACTTTTTAACAAATCCTGAAAATTAGTGAACCATGAGATTATTTCATTGTAAATTTCTAAATCACAAATTAGTAAAATATTGGTTAAAATTCTCATATAAAGATAACTCTTTAGTTTATAATTATGAACGTGTGTTCAGTGTGATTTTTTACTTAATCACATGACCAAGCAATTTCATGTCATTGGTTTAGTGTGTAGATATAGATCACATATTTAGATCACATACTTATAAATATTTTATTTCCTAAACACCAATTTCTAAAGCTAAATAATACTATATAATATATATAAAAATTATATTAAGAAATTTTGCTCCCTGTAATTAATAATTGCCTTTCTAGTTTTTACATAATTACGTGATTATCATGCAATTCTTTTTTTTTAAAAAAAAAGAAGTCAATACAGCCTTTTTGTCTAATGTACGTACGTAAAACATTATTTTTAGAAACTATTTTAAAAAATATACAGTATTTATGAGATATTTAAATTATACATGCGTGTGTGTGTGGAAAGGAATTAAAGACGAATAAAGGGTTTGAAAGGAACAAAGATATTGATTTAAAGAGTTTTTTAACCTGCAATACAGCTCAAAAATAATTTAATCAAAAACATTACGACCAAGAGCTAGTTCAACAAAATCATACATGATGACGGAAATTACAGTTAAAAGTGCACCAGCATTGCAAATATAAGCAATCCATAATCTCACATTATCTGGTAATGGAAGAGCTTTAAACCGTTCCGGTGGTGTATCAAATATTATTGAATCACTTTTTTCACTTTGACTTTTATCAGAACCTGAATGAGAATGTGTTTGTGAACCGTCTAATTCGACAATAATATCTTGATTATTACCATCTTCTTCTTGCACCATAATTGTAGGTATATTTGTAGGTATATTTGTATTTTGTATATTATATTCAATACTTGGAATACTTGGAGGAGAAGCACGACGACTTAAATTAGAACGATGTACAATTGAAGGAGGCATCTGAAGACTTAATGCGGGTCGAGAATGATTATCTCTTCCTTGTGGATCTGATTTTGAAGTTGTGGGCGGAGCAGATACTATTCTACGTCCTGGTACGTGAAGGTGTTCGGCATTTGGATTTAAACTATTTGGGGTACCTGGTGCAGAAACGTTATAATCATCATCATCATTGTATAAGATACCGACGGCAGCATCTGTTCCATCACGTAATCTCTCTCTAGTTATTACTTGAGAGTTTATCCAGTCTTTTACATTTCTAAAACTTTTGTCACTCTTGGTACTCCTGATCGAAACTTGTCGTTTAATATCGGCTAAATGAATAAAACCAATAGAAAAAAATTGAAAGAAGAGAAGGTTAAAATAATTCAATTAGGATCAAAAGTAAAATGAATCCTAAATATTATAATAAAGGTAAATAATTTACATTCAAATCTCTTCAATTTTATGTCTGCTTGTACAGCAATGTTTGGTTTTTGGCTTAAATAATATAGATAAAATGGAACGACAAAGTTACTAATGCTTGAGAAAAATAAATTTGTCCAATTTACAAAAACGTTAAGCCAACGGCCGGTTTGAAAAGGCATCACAACTATCCATGGTAATACTGAAGAGAGAAAAATTGCTAAGCCTAAAATAAATCAATATTAAACATTAAAATTTTAAAACATCGTCTTTGAAATTAATTTAAGGTAATATGAGCTAGGTAACTGATTGTTTACAGTAATTACCTTTTTTACAGTGTCCTGATCGAATTAAATTGTATCGGATAACAATTGTATATACTGGAATACTCGTTATTAATGCAGAGACTGGAAATATATAAGTACTAGAAACAGTCAACCAATTTCTTTCATCAGACTGATTAATTACAACTATTATATCAGAATTTTTATCTATTGGAAAGGCCATTCCACCAATGATTCCAAGTAAAACATAATTTAAAGTCGCAATTAAGATTGAATAAAAAACAGATTTTTGTATAGGAACTTTAGGATCCTAATAATTAATTTTAGGTTAGGGTATGTTACATTAGTTTTCAGAAAACATTCAAAGTAAAATACATATATCATATAAACTCTGATTTACCAAGTCGTTAACCCAACTTGGGACTGTTACAATAAAGGCATAATTGAATAGAACAGTTCCAATTACTTGACTCATGTCATCTCCAAAATCTGGAACGTACGATGGTGTTAACCCATGTTTGAAAAAGGTAATAAACCAGGCAGCAAGTATGGCTATCAATCCGACGAATGAAGCTAAAGATAAAAAAGGTATTTAGTTTGAAGGAATTTCGTCAATATGTTAATTTAACTAACCGACTATCCGTGTATTATACTTACCTATTTGAACTTTGATATTGTCTGCTAATGAGAAAATACCAAGAGGTACGACCATGATGAGAGTCATCTATAAAAAATAATATGTTAACTTTTGATAATATAATATATCAAACTAATGCTGTATCATACAACTGAACTATGTATGTACGAAACACGTGAAAAACCTCTGAACCAATCAGCTTACCAGGAATCCTAAAGTCGCGACCATATAATTCGTCCCGAAAGGACTATTATAATCACCTTGTTGAGTTACACAGTAGAAACCACTTTGAGGATATATACCTAGTCCACACGTCTTTCCAAACAGCGATATAAATAGCGTATCCATTGATTGTGCGGATAATAGTATTGAAGCGATATTAACGGATTGAAGTGAAACAAAAAGACTTATTTGAATAAGAAGTCGTTTTCGTTTATCTGATACGAGGATTGCAGTAAGATAAGAGAATTCAATTTGGCGCTATTAATTAATTAATTAATTAATTAATTATCTGTTAATAATAAATCAAAAATTGATATAAAAAGATTGTTATAATAAGTGATAACTTGGATTAATCGTTACTTGAAATTTTTCATTTCCCTTAATTGAACTCGCAGCTTCACATAATAATAGCGAGGAAACACAACTTAATATTGAAATAAAAAGAAATGCCCCTATCGTTCTGTTAATTGTAGAGTCTTTATTTTAATAGTATATTACGCATAGGAAACAAATATTGATGCAATATAAATGCAAAAGATGCAGTAAATATATTTAACTCACACAAACCAACCAGCACTTTGGAATAATATCGGGACTTGAAAGCAAGATATAATTACTAAAATTAATTTTATCAAAGAAAAAAAGGATTTAAGCTAATTATATTAACACTTACTAGTTACAAGTCCGGGTCCAATTATGGATGAAACCAAAAGGGCGATACTTCCGAAATAAGAGATGCCATTAGTTCGAGGTATTGGTACTGTCGATTCCATTTTTGTTTTTTTAATGAGAGTAAGTTTTTTGATGTATTGCACTTTTTTTCTTATAAATTACAAAAATGTTATCTTAGCCACCACTTCACTAGTTAACAAACTAGAGCAGTTTTCAATTGATTACAATATCGTTAGCTCGCAAGCATCAATAGCGAACTACGTAACTAGTGTCGTAATAAATAAAGTTCCGATTTATCCATAACTTAATTATCAATTTATATGGCATTTTATTTGAGTGCTAAAAGAGGTAATTCAATTTAAATTCTGCAACATGCATGTTGGTTACGCGTTGTGCGAGAACAACTTCAAATGAACAGTACTACCATTGTGCAAGCCATTGTGTTGCATTAAATTCTTGCCACATTATAACTTTTTAAGTAATTTTATAATTGTGGCGGTGAAATAAATTACCAATTAT